CCAATGGGGCCGGAGAGGCGCCCGTAGGAGCGGGTAGGGGCAGCGGCGTCCCCGCGGTGCCCACAGGAGAGATGAGAGAGTCGGCTTGCTGTCCTGGCATCTCTCGCCAGCGGCACCCCTCCCCCAGGAGCGCCCGCCGCCCGCACCCACCGGCCAGTCTCGGAAACTGGTTGCTGGCCCCAGCGTTCGGGTTTTTAACCGCAGCCCCACTCCCTCTCTCTTTAAAAACAACATCGCAGAAGCCTGCGGGTTGTGTATTTTCATTTTGTGTGAGATCCGTGGAGTCGGTTTTTCAAACCGGCACTTTGAAATATTTACATTTCTTGGGGGAGGATTGTTATAGTACATTAAACTATAGGTCCCAATGTTGGCAATATTTTAGCTTTTCGAGGCCCCATAGAAATAGGTAAATGAAAATTGGATCATGTTTTCAGGCACTGCACCAATGACAGCAAGTACCCAACTGGTAGTCAAAAGCCAGGGCAGTTTTTATTTTTCTTAAAAATGCTCCTTTGATATGTGAATACATTTCATAGGCATTGGGGAAAAAAGCTTAACCCTTAATTGAACACAATTTTCAGGACTGCTGCATAGATGATTTCCTAGGATTGATAATAGCAAACATTTGCTCCTAAATTTTTTAAAAATGTTTTTATTTCAGAGAGAGGAAGGGAGAGGGAGAGGGAGAGAAATATCAATGATGAGAGAGAATCATAGGTCAGAGAATCACGGATGGGCTGCTTCTGCATGACCCCCAATGGGGGTCAAGCTCACAACCGGGGCATGAGCCCTGACTGTAATCCAAGGGTGACCTGGTTCATAGGTCCAGTTCAACCACAGCCGTACCGGCCAGGCTGGTCCTAAATGTTTGTATATTTCAGAGAGGAAGGGAGAGAGAGAGAGAGAAACATCAATGTGAGAAGGAAGCATCAATTGGCTGCCTCCTGCAGGATCCCTATCAGGAATCTGCAACTGGGACGTGTGGCCTGACCTGGGTTGAACTGGCAACCCTTTGGTGCACAGGACAATACCCAACTAACTGAGCCACACAGGCCAGGGCTGTTCTACACACATTTTAATGTAATAGCTCATTTACTCATCACAGCAACCCTATCAGATAATTATCCCTATTTTACAGATAAGGAAATAGGGCACAGATTGGTAGATAACTTGCCCAGGTTCCCAAAGGTAATTGGTGATAGAACCTACCTAGATTAGATGCAGTGCTGGTTGTGGGAACTTCAAGCCATGTGTGTCTGGGTAGGGTGTGTGCATGCAAACTTAGAAAACTATTGTGGATAAGGCTACAATAATATTTTGGCTAAGCAGGTAGGCCATTAAAAAGGAACTTGACAGAATATATGTACCCCTATGTTCATAGCAGTGCAATTTTACAATAGCTAAGATTTGGAAATAGCCTAAGTGCCCATCAGCAGATGAGTGGATTAGAAACTGGTACAACTAGCCCTAGCTTGTTTTGCTCAGTGGATAGAGTGTCAGCCTGCGGACTGAAGGGTCCCGGGTTTGATTCCAGTCAAAGGCACATGCCTGCCAGAATGGGGGCGTGCAGGAGGCAGCTGATCAATGATTCTCTCTCTTCATTGATGTTTCTATTTCTATCCCTCTCCCTCTCCCTTCCACTCTCTGAAATCAATAAGAATACACACACACACACACACACACACACACACACACACACACCTGGTATATCTAAACAACGGAATACTACACAGCTGTAAAAAAGAAAGAACTCTTACCATTTGCAACAGCATGGAAAGACCGGGAGAGCATTATGCTAAGCAAAATAAGCCCGAGAAAGATAAGTATTACATGATTTCATATGTGGAATCTAATGAACAAAAATAGATCCAAAGACATAGAAGCACTGAACAGACTGTCAAACCTCAGAGGGAAGGCAGGGGAGAGTGGGCAGGTGGGAAGAGATCAACCAATGAACTTGTATGCATATATACATAATCCAGGAACACAGATAATAGGGTGGTGAAGGCCTGGGGTAAAGGGTTCGAAGCAGGTCAATGGGGGGAAAAGGGGACATATGTAATACTATCAACAATAAAGAGTAATAAAATAAAAATGTCCCTGAATAAAAAATAAAAAAGGAACTTGGTTTGTCTCCAGGATTCAGGTAAAATCATCACTGGAAGCAGTGACAAGAATTTTGACTGATATTCCACATTTGCAGCTTCAGTTAGTTGTAAGAGGTCTGAGATGGTAATTCTGTTCATGTTGGTTGCATGAGTTCATTTGGGGTGCAATTAGGTTTGCCAGAAGCAGATGATGAGACAGGGAGCTCTGGACCTAGTATTGTAGGTCAGAGTGTCCCACTGCCACCCAGCCTTTATACTCCTCCCTTTGCTGGTTAGCATCTGTGGGCCCTGGGAGGGACAGGACTGCAGCTGAGGCAGACCAAAAGTGAGCTAACAGCTGGAGGCCATCTGCTGTGCACACTAGGCCCCCTGAGCGGGGCAGAAAGTCCTTTTTTTAAAAAAAATATATTTTTACTGATTTCAGAGAGGAAGGGAGAGGGAGAGAGAGATAGAAACATCAATGGTGAGGGAGAATCATTGATCAGCTGCCTCCTGCATGCCCCTACTGTGGATCGAGCCTGCAACCCAAGCATGTGCCCTGACCCGGAATCGAACCATGACCTTTTGGTTCATAGGTAGACGCTCAATCACTGAACCACACCAGTCTGCCCTGTTCCCACATTTTAAAGGAAGAAAAGAATGAATCCCAGAGCTATCACATGACTGATGTCACATTGGTAATTGGTGACAAAGTTGGAATAAATCCCAAGGTGTATGGGGCATGCCTTAAAATTCCTTTTTATCTCCCATTGTACTTGATGTTAAATTATTCATTTGGTAGATACAGCCACTGAACCACACCTGTCTGCCCTGTTCCCACATTTTAAAGGAAGAAAAGAATGAATCCCAGAGCTATCACATGACTGATGTCACATTGGTAATTGGTGACAAAGTTGGAATAAATCCCAGGGTGTATGGGGCATGCCTTAAAATTCCTTTTTATCTCCCATTGTACTTGATGTTAAATTATTCATTTGGTAGATACACTGTAAATTTTTTGTTGATATGTAAATTAAGCCATCTTTGACTCTATTAATAAACCCTCTTTCTGTTGCAAATGACAGAAATCCAATCCATAAGCAAGAAAATTAACTTTTTGGCTGACATTACCAAAAAATTGATCTGTACAGGTTTGGAGGGATTCAGTGGTTCAAATGATGTTATCAGAGCTCTGTGTGACTCTGTTTTGATAGGACCTCTCTGCATGGCAGCATGATGAACTCTGGCATCCCAAAATTTATGGTGAAGGAGAGCATCTTCCCCAGTAGCATTGGGAGGAAGGTTTCCAGAAAGGTCTTGATTCACTTTTTGTTATGTCTGTGAATCAAAACCCTGTCCATGGAAGGACACTGGCCACTCTGGGACATGTATCTTCTTTAGTTTTGAGAACATGAGTTTATCCTAATTCACCACCAAAATCTCATGGACTGGGCGAGGGGGTAGTCCCTAAAAGAAAGGGTTCTGGAAAATTGGAAGATACTAAATTTACTCTATTGTTATATCTCTTTGTCCAACCTTTTCTCTCCAATTCCATTGTCATCAACTTAGTTCAGGATCCTCTTTTTAATCTTCTAACCAATCTCCTGGCTGCTGTCAATCTCTTTTAAATTTATCTTGTACACAGTTAAGCAAGCACTCTGCTTACATTAAAGTTATTCTTTACTTATAGCTATCCCCATTGCTGGAGTGATCAACTCCTTGGCTTGGCATTCAAAGTTCTCAGAATCTGGTTTGGATATAAAATTCCCCCTCTCCCCAACTTTAAAGCAGTGGAGGTGCTAGGTGGGAAGTGAGGCAAGTAAGGACTAGATTGTCTGGAGCTCCCTCCCTTCAGCTAGTGGTGCTGTGATGTGTAAGTTAGTTGTTATGGCTTAAAGGCCCAAGTTTGGGGCATTCATTTGGTTGTTTAGTTATTAATTTAATTTTTAATCCTAGCAATACAAGCATAAAGTTAAAAAGTTCAAATAGCAAAATGATTATAAACAACAAAAGAAATTCCTTGGCCCCTTCTTCAAATTTTAACATATGTCATTTCTTTTGGTATTTACCTTCATATTTCTCAACGAATATGTGTATAATGCTATTTGTTCACACACAACCGGTCATCATTCCAACTCCAAATCTACTTAACCTAAAATCTAAAAAGCC